TGCAACACTGATATTCATTTCAATGTTTATTTGGCTTGAAAAACAAACAACAAAAAAACAAAAATAAATAAAAACATGAGTTGCCTTAAATGGGATTTGAGCTCAGGACATCTCTCTCTCTCTCTCTCTCTCTCTCTCTCTCTCTCTCTCTCTCTCTCTCTCTCTCTCTCTCTCTCTCTCTCTCTTTCTTAACGAGCGTGTAATTATCCCCTCGACCACAGGGAAGTTACACGATAAAAGCCTGAAGAAACCATATCATTCTAAATTAGAGTTTGTAACCCTTATTTATTTCGTTTAACACTGGTGTAAATAATCATGGAGCTTATTATTGCATGTATATCTGTAAAGAATGACACAATATTTGAAACTTTTGACCAATCGGGAAGTACTTTTCTTCCCCTGATATGGTCTTTGCTGGATTAAACAAAACCAGTCATTCTTTAGACCATTGGTTAATCTTTTGTAAATCAGCGTTTGATGTTAGTTCGGGTTTATTAACGATAAGGGATAAACGTGTGTCATCTGCAAAATATCTGACGTTGGCGTCGATATCAATTACAATGTCGTTTATAAATATATGGAAAAGCAGTGGACCGAGAATTGATCCTTGAGGAACACCAGCCCCGACGCAAAGAAGAGAAAATGATGATCCTTGTACAGTGGCTCTTTGCTGCCTTTTCTATAAGAAGCTTTGAAACCAAAGATATAACTTTGTTCTCATTTTTCATTTTAATGATATCATTAATAGTCCGAGCATGATTAACAGAACTTTCGTCAGTTCTAAAAATACCAGCACGTTCCATAAAAAGATTAACTCGGGTAAACATAGGTAACTGCAAGTGATTAACCAAATAATTACATTGAAAGTTATACAAGTTATATTTTGTGAGATGTTATCTTCGTTTGACTGTAAAGCACAGTAAGTAAGACTGCTTATTAATATGAAAGTGAATTAAGCTAGCGGGTTCGAAACCTGTTGGAAACTGTTTTAATTTTCATTTAAGTTTTAATTCTTTTTTTTCTAGATTACGTAATTACTGTCTAACAAAATAAATATATGATCACGCATTAGAACCTAAAGATATTGTATATTTTGTGTCTTGAAATTTGTTAAAATATTCATGCATTTGTAATATGAAATGAAAAACATGTAATAAAGAAGGTGAAGATACTTCGTGAAAAAAGTAATATAGATACATCAATAAAAAAATAAACAAAAGGAATTATCGTTATGTAGTTTCGTGTATATGTATGAAAGAGAAAATAAAGATAATAAAAAAAATGGAAAAGAAACTTTTTTGAAGCCTGTTACTTTCCTGTTGAGGAGTAGGTTCTTTCTGAGCATAGTGCTCTACCGATTGAGCTATTGCGACATTTATTATTTACTTATAACGTACAAGCATTGAGATGTGCATCATTTCATTTACCTATATAGTATTAATATGGACAGTTCCGACTATAAATAGATATGAAGAAAGATCGATATATCGTGCTCGGATTATAGCTATTGATCAGTAAGTAAATAAAAATAATCAATATTTTATAATTACCGAGTACATTTTCAATTGTGAGACGAACCCTAAATGACGTCTGTATGGGCGCCGTCAGGTTAAACCGTAAGTCAACGGGAAAAACATAATACTCTTTTTTTACGTTTTATTGCGATCAAGTGATAGCATTCTTTATTAGTCTAACAATTAAAGGGAAAGGCAATGTGAGAATGAAAAACTGATATCAGAAAAAGACTACTATACATAGTTATTCTGCAAATTTTCTGCGTTCAAATTATGATATAAAACACTTGATAAGTTGATAACAAACCTTAAATCGCTAAATCAGCGATTTCTATAAATCGGTATGTGCGGCCATGTTTGCTTATTGGCCGTATAAAAACAGGTGCGCGTGATGTCATTAATCCACATCAAATAATTGTCGAATCGAATCGTAGCGAAAGATAAAGATATTGAAAAATATTTACCAGACAAATTAATTTTAAACAGGATGTGTAGGGAAGAAGACTTTTTTGTTCAAAATGCGTCACAATATCCAAGAAAATAAAACAAAAAAAAAAACAGAAAAATAAAAAAAATCAACGATCTACTTGAGCACAGGTCACACCACTTCAGATCATCGAGTGATGCCCGTTACTCCAAACAATACTACGTTCATTGAAGTCTCATTTTAATGTTATTAAACACTATTTCACATATTTGATAAATACATGTGTTATTATTTAACAAAGTTTCACAGTCAATAAATGATTTCAATAAACAAAAGCACCAAAGAAATACTGGCATGTTAATGATTGAACGGGATAACAATCATTATACTTATAAAAAGATTCTTAATAGTAATAAAATTCGTTCAAGTTGATTATGTACCTCAAATAAAAAGGTATGGATATAGAATATGAAAAGTATAAATTGTACGCAGGTCTGTCTATCAGAGGTCAACGTTGTTGCTGTTATTTATTTACATTTGAAACTTATTGTAATTGATGGTATTTATAATAAGGTTTCATAATACTGTTTCATTTATTTATTCATTGTGATTGATGACATAGCATGACAAAGGTTATGCATAAGATATGTATATCACTGGATTTAGTTTCGAGTATACGCTAAAAAAAGATACATGACCGGCGACGTACCCGGTTCACACATGCAAAGGGGAGCTTGTCTAGCGAAAAGTTCAAAATGAAAAGATGTATCGTCAATTTGGAGGAGTTTACATTTCAATTTTAAAACTCAAATTGAATTTACCAAATAAATCAAATGGTTTATCTTTGAAAATTATAGAATCATTGCTCAAATCATGTGGTCAGGGATTATCGGCAAGCTTTGTTATCAGGCAAATGTTAATTAATTAATGTCGATGCGTATTCGATTAATTAAATAAAGAATTTTCAGTTCAATATGATGTATTCATACACTTTATTGATTATAATATAAAGAAAAACTTGAATGGAAGATCCTGGTAATTAAATAGGTATCAACCATCCATTATTGGGGAAAATTTCAATTTGACAAAGCATCCATATTTTGTCCGAAACAGGTGATAATTTCTGTATCTACATACACTTCTTATCTATAACTTTGGAGATAAAAAAAATGTCATCGCATTTTTGTAAAATCATTTTAATACATGCATGTATGTGAATATAATGCAAGTAATAAGATTAATAAGTTGTTCATCAAAATTTATTTTCGTTGTACCAGCGTGGGAGTAATACGTATTATTACATGCTTTCGGTGGTTTATAGGAATATATCAGTGATATAAAACTGATAATTTCATTGTTTTAAACAGTGAAATTATCAATTTGATAATGTCACCGTTTTAAATTTAAGCCCCTTACGTTGTTTCAATGAAATACCAGCGTGCACAGCACTGGAAACCAACTAAATGACGTAACGTCGTAATTGACGTCACGTTGTATTATTTGGCACGCTTTTCATTTAGTATTAGGTTAAATGTCTTTTTAAAACGTTTCTTTGCATATAACTAAATGCTGCTCCACTCGTGAAATATACCTTTTGGTGCTCACTCGGTGAAATATATATTTCGATCTTACACTGAACTAAACAAATATCCTCTAAATAATCTCCGTCTCGTTTGTCTCAACATGCTTTACAGTAGATTGGTGTTTATGTAGAATTTTATGACAGTCTATAAATACTTTTGAAAAACCATGGCTAAAGAGCACGTGATTTTTAATTGAACAGAAACAGGCCAATCGTAGAACGGTTTACATATCATCTTCACACATCTTTTTGAGATATAGATATAATTCGAGAACTTTAACATATTTTTCTACCACTGTAATACAGAATGTATGATACTATCCTGTAAATAAGCAAATATATATGAATGCCATCAAATAGCATGAATCAAATGCAAATAAGAATCTATTGCATAATATATTCAATAATTATTAAATTTCATTTGGGGAGCACCAGCTGTTATGCTTTTATCTGTAGCAATGCCATTCAATATTTTTTCAAAACCACACAAACAAATATTCTCTATATTATGACAAATATTAAACATGCCTGTATTTATCACATACCCGTGCCGATTTTGCGACTCCGTAGATATGGTATTGCACGGCCGTGCCTATATTTTGACGTGACGTCATTAGCGTTATACAAACATAGTGTAAAGACGCGCTAAATGTTAGCGTTATACTATAGGCGCGTCAACGAAAAATTACTCTTATTTCACTTTAAACGGTCTTTATTTTGGGTATGTGGTATATAGAATATTAAATTCGTGTAAGTTCATTACTGAATTTATTGCACTTTTTATTCAACTCGTGCAATAAATTCAGTATTGAACTTACACTCATTCAATATCCTCTATATATGTCATAGCATGGTACACTTTTTCCTTTTCTTTTTTTTTCCGAATTTCTAATCATTTTATTGAGCAATCTAAGGAAAAATGAATTTCACATTCGATAAAGTTAACGTTACTTAAATGATAACCAATTCGTATAATCTATTAGATATAATAAAACGAAAACTTTGAAGAGATCGAATCGTGTAATATCGTTCTTTATTACATGCTTTTCGGTGGTTTATAGAAATATATCAGTGATATAAAACTGGTAACTTGACTGTTTGAAACAGTGAAAATACCACTTTGATAATTTCACTGTTTTGAATTTAAGCCCCTAACGTTGTTTCAGTGAAATACCAAAGCACAGTACTGGGTACTAACTTAATGACGTGACATCGTAAATGACGTCACGTTGTATTATTATTTGGCGCGCTTTTCATTCAGTATAAGGTTTAATGACTTTTTAAAACGTTTCTCTGCATATAATAAAAAGAAAATTTGTTTAGTTAAGTGTAAGATCGAAGTATATTTCACCTTGTGAACACCAAAAGTTCATATTTCACGAGTGGCTGCGCTGTCTTTCGACCCTGGTTTGATCAGAATTTAAGGCATTGATTCAAGGCTCAAAATCGAAATGTTTTCCTAAAATTCTACTTTCAGAAAATTTTTCCTTGATGCCATTCCAATGTCTGGCTCAAGAGAGACCCTCAAACTGATGGTTCAACTTCTTGTCAGTAAACAAGTTACAGGTCTTTGATGCAGATATGTGGATGGACCACCTTTGCTTTTGTCCAGAACCCATCTATCGATATGCTTGCAGATTTGCTAAGGTAAACGTACAGCAAGAATGTTCATGAAAGCATTTCTAATTCCTCTGGGATCTTAAATTTTTGCTCATGGTATTCATGTTTTAAAGTGGCATTTACTTTATAATAAGTAACAAGGGTTTCTATATATCAAGTTAAACGTTAGGAGCTGTGAAACTGCATGTTTGCACTTTTGTTTTGCTAACAATGGGTTCAAAACTAGTTCACACCGAATACAATAGGGGCTAACAAAAATAACAGAAAAAACTAGGAAAAAAAACCTACCTTTCAAACTTTGAGTTTTTTTTGTAATCTAAGGATTGGCGTCCATGAGGGCCGCCATATTTTAAATTAATACATACAGTATGTCGCACACAAATTCAATAATTCAAATTATTTGATATTCCAGAGAAACATCGAAGCGGAAGATATCAAGGAGAGAAAAAAATATTTCTTTGTCGAAAAAAAGTTTTAATTCTTTTTAATAAAGATGTAATTGGAGATATTACTGATATTGTCATATGTATTACCTCTTTATATAGGAATGTATTTTCAACACAAATATTTAACTATTACAACCTAAAATTTTTAAAGGATAAACATTACATTGTTTCCTTTATTATAATCCATTTCTAGCGTAAAATAATTCTTATAATAATTACTTATGTAATATATAAACGGTTTTTCTTTATTTGTCAGCCACTCCTCGCCATGAAGACTAACCAAGAAAAAGCAATGCTTTCAGTCAGCTCTTTGATCAACACCGTTTGTAAGACTAACCCAAGCTGTGAAAACTTTTTCTGGAAATTAAAAAAATTATTTCCTCAATTAGAAAGCCAGATAGGGGACCAACATCATGCACCACAGATTTTTTTTTCAGATAAGACATTACAAAAGAATAAAAAAAATCTGGCGTTTAAGATTTTTTTTTTTTTTTATCAATTTCCCCAATTATAAAAAACTGCTTAAATGACTATCTATCACGAATTGTTTTAAATTTACTACATTTTAAAGAGCGAACTATCTGGAAAGTTCAATAATACAAATTTTTGTAAACACATATATTTCATGATATGTTAATTATCAACATTAAATATTAATCATTTTCCTAAGCATGCAATATGATAAGTATGCTAATTCCAGTAAATAAAATCCTTTATATGAAAGTAACCTTTCTGTCATTCGGAACAAATTTCAGAGTCTTATGGCAATACGCGCGCAATTGGTTTAATGCTGGATTATTGGAAACAACGGGCTATTCCAACCCTTTGTGACAAAAGCTTCAAAAGAACTGGGAGGATATCCAAATTGAAAATAAGAACTTTCTGCTCCTATTTAAAAGCCTTCCCCGTTTCGTATTTCCCAATGCTCCAAAAGCTGGCAATGTACGTATTTGGTTTTTTTTTTAATTATTTAAGAATATTTGTAAAAAGGTTCTTGAGAACCAAGAATTACAAACTATCATGTCATTAAAGACTAAGCGGAAAAATACGGATTGTAAGATGTTTTATGCCTATCTATATTTGTTCTACCGTTTTTTTTGCTGTTTGTTATGTTGTCCACAAATTTTGGGTTTTGTATTGAAGTCTGAATGGTAACATCGAAAAGTGTAAAGGGATTGCCCAGTTTATATAATGATTTAAAAATACAATATAATATTTAAAATTATATATTTATAGATTTGCAACAACCTTATCCTAAAACATATTGTGCATTTATAGCATTCATATTTTCTCCAGAAATCAATGTTGTTGGCTGTTTTCGTTGATACTGAAGAAGATTCTGAAATCCGAATTGCCGCTTACAAGTCTTTGATGGAATGTCCAACTGATTATATTATCAGCAAAGTCAAGGGTATGCTTACAAAGGAAGAAGTCAACCAGGTCGGTTCATATGTATGGTCACATCTTACAAACCTTATGGAAACATCAAATCCACACAAACAGGCAATAAAGTCGGTTCTTGAGGATGAAACGCTTAAAAAAGAATTTAATTTGGACAATAGAAAGTTTTCAAGGAACTACGAAAAGTCTTTATTCATCGAAAAGATCAATGCCGGTGTTGTTGCCGAGGGAGATCTCATCTGGTCTTCTAAGTCCTTTATTCCACGATCAGCGATGGCAAACCTTACGATAGATTTATTTGGAAATGCAGTAAACCTTTTTGAAATAGGCGGCAGATTAGAAGGTCTTGAATATTTCCTGGAATCTTACTTTGGACCTAACGGTTATTTCAGTGAAAATGACGTTAAAGAGGCTGTTGAAGAAACGGCAGTGGATGTCATTAAGTCAGACAAAGTGAAACGTATCGACAAAAGGGTATGTGTTCATTATCCGTACACTTTTATTTTTAATTTGTAATGTAATATACTTCTTTTAAATAAACATCATAAACTGTTAGTTTAATCGCTATATAACGTGTCTGTCTACTTTGTAGAACAACCGTGTCATGGAGGAACTTCGTGGATCTCTCTACTTAAGAGTTTTTGGCAACGAACTCCGGTACATGAACTTCCAGGGTCTTGACTCACTCTTTTCTCAAAACAGTTTCAATATTTTGGATATCATGATGAAACTCAGTAAAGAAGGCGATTATCAATACACCCACAGTTCAATGTTCATGGACAGCTCTGTAATCGTTCCAACAAGCTCAGGTTTTCCACTTAATCTTACAGTAAATGGAACAGCCACTGTTGACTTCAAAGCATCCGGTAAAATTGATGTCATGAAATTGCCAACAATGGACATTCGTGGAATAATAAGACCCAGGTAAAATAGTTTATACGAAGATTTTGCAATGTCAAAGACAATATTGAATATATTAAAGTATGATAGAAACACAAAAAATATTCTGTATGTATTTCTTTATTAACAGAATTAACAAATATATCACCATGCATTCTAATGAAACAATTTTATTTGCTTCCAGTGCTGCAGTTGTAGTGTCGAGCATTATGGGAATCGATGCTTTGGATACACAAATTGGAATCAAAATGGTTTCAACACTCCATTCTAGCACATCAGTACAAGGAAAAGTTTCACTTTCTGAAGGAAAACTCTTTAATGTCGAATTTGATCTACCCGAAGAAAAACAAGACATCATTAGTGTTAGGTAATTGTTTGTTTTTGTTTTCCTCACAGTTAAATATCTACAAAATCCAAAGATTATTCATTGAAATGTATTTGAAACATGAAACAGCAATAATGCAGCATTATTCTAGCTGAGGTTCATACTGAGAGATGTAAAATTATGCCTTATTTATTTGCAGTTCTTCCTTTTATACCGTACATCGTCATTCTGAGCGAGAACAGAAAATGATAACAGAAAACCGACAGACATATAATGCTTGCACTGGTAACAAATTAGCAAAGATAATTGGTCTTGAACTATGCAGTGAACTCAGTTTCCCAAATGCGTCGCTTGTGGAAAATGCACCTTATTTCCCTCTCACAGGACCAATCAAAGCTGGACTGTCATTATACAAACGTGACAAAGAAATGAAAGGATACAAAATTGAGGCAAGATCAACACATGTAAGTGTCATTTCATTTCTTTTTTTTTTCAATTTCAAACAATTAAAATAACATAAAATACTTTATATATAAATATTCATAAACTTATATTTACCACCTTTTCAGAATGCTGATGAAAATGTAGTCCGACTAGCGTTTTCAACACCAAACTCATTAACTGACAGAACATTTGCATTAGATCTTAACCTTAACAAGGCACAAGGCGCTTTTGATGCAAGCTTTAATTCACCCTGGAAGAAAGCAGATTTTAAAGGTAAATTTAATATAAATCTGTACTTAGAAATTTTTGTAACTAAGGTTTAAATGATAAACGCATATATTTAGACGAATTGACCCTATATAGTAATCTAGAGATACATTTATATACATTATACAATTATTTGTTCAAATTGTGTATATGATCAAAATGAACACAATGTTTATTTTATACGTTTAAGGAACATTTGTATACGACAACACAAACAAAGGAATAAGTGGTAAAATGAACTGGGACGGATCTGTTCGTTTTGATGTCAAGGCAAACCTGCAATCTGAAAAATCAGGACCAGGAATGATCTATATACCAACAGTGCATATACTTGCTCCAGGATATAATCCTATCGATCTGAGAGGTACCATTAAATACGCGCCATGGAAGATTTTTGAAACAGATGTTTCACTTAGCGGAATTTACTCAGCTCCTGTTATTGTGAAATGTGAGTAGAAAAACATCTTTGTTAGGTATAAAATCAAACTTCACCTGAAACAAATATTTTAAGTATATGTTAAAAATATAGTAAGATCCATTTTCTTTTTTTAGTTTAAATTAAAATTTGTTCAATATGATACTTAATTATCATGATGTACAAATCAAAGAAATGCCAATTATTGGTTATTTAGATAACAATTAATAACTTAGGATGACAATTAAAAAAGTTATTATTCATGATATATTCATCATTATCTAGATTCCATCCAAAAGAAGGCGAAGATTATGAGTGCTAGTGCAAGTATTCAGTTGTCACCTAAGAGGGTTTACTCAATGCATTCATTTGTTCAAACAACGGAATACCAGAAAAAGTTTTTTTATTATAAGTCACTTATTTCCGTGCGTTCTCCATCTCAAGAGCTTCTTGCGCTGGCTGGGACATTTACAAACCTTTACGGAAAGAAAATTGAATTGAATATATTACTTGACAAAATTATTGATAAACCAATTATGATTAAAGGTAAGTGGCATTGCATAGATAGCAGATTTGCTGTAAATTTTAGCAATTCTGTTTTTATCTTTCGCACTCATTTTATGATCTAAGCACGCGCATTCTTAAACTTTACACGGAATAACACGAACGGTATTGAATTTGAATTATAACTTATTTGAAATAATATTTAATTATCATGATGTACAAAACAAAGAAATACTAAAGTAAGTGGCATTGCATAAGTAGCAGATTTGTCGTTATTTTAGCAATTCTGTTTTATATCTTTTGCACTCATTTTATGTCTAAGCACGCGCATTCTTAAACTTTGGTCGCTATGCACGGAATAACACGAACAGTATTGAGTTTAAATAAGTTCGATATAATAATAAATCATGTACAAAACAAAGAAATACTAAATATTGTGTATTGTTATTTTTATTTAGATTACAATATAAGTTGGGATGATAATTAAAAAGATATTTTTCATGATATATTCATCATTATCTAGCTTCCATCCTAAAGGAGACGAAGAATCTGAAAGCTAGTGCAAGTATACAGTTTTCACCTAAGACGATTTATTCAATGGAGTCATCTGTTCAAACAACGGAATTCAAGAAAAAAATTGTTTATAAGTCACTTATTTCCGTGCGTTCTCCTTCTCAAGAGCTTCTTGCGCTGGCTGGGACATTTACCAACGTTTACGGAAAGAACATTGAATTAGATTTTGTATTGGACAAAATTATTGATAAACCAATTATCATTAAAAGTAAGTGGCATTAAATACAAAGCAGATTTGCTGTTATTTTAGCTTTTCTATTTTATATCGTTAGCACGCATTTTGTTTAATGGTTTAGGACACACGCATTATTAAACTTGGGTCGCTTTTCACAGAATAACACAAACGTTTCATCATAACCACAGTATAAACACATCTATGGAAGTTTTACTACTGTCCTTTAAAAATGTTGAATATTGTTTATGCTTATGTTAGAGGGTGTGAATTGTAGTTAACACACCATTACTGCCCATGAACAGACTCACACAAAAAGTGTGTGTAACATTTTCAATTTGTAGTTTAAGGCGTTTTCTTTTCCCTTTTTATAAATCGTTTTCTTCTATTCTATAGTTAAAGTTTTCTGAATCTTTTAAAATGTATAAAAAATTACACAATTATATCTTATTATATTTCTTTTCAGACAAAATACACAAACTGTACAAAAAACGTTCTAAAATGATATTCCTCGAGTTAGATTTCAGATCAAAAATTATGGATATCTTGTTAAAAAGTGCGTTTAAGTGCAAAAATTACATTACGCTCAGTACTAGTACACACCTAACCTACGTCATTCGTAAATATGCAAGGGATAATATCAAACTAGTTACTAAGATTATTAACCAGAGCAGCAAAAGTCTGACGAAGGCAAAAGCATCAATGTAAGTTATAGCACACGATCATTTCATAAACATATGCAAGCTTATAGTAAATTCAATTTACAAAGCTTTTAAAACTGAATCGAAAATTATAGTTACACTTAATCAAATTCCTTCATATGTACCATACTCATTTTGATCCGTGTTAATTAGATACCATTATTTTACAGGAATCTGGCATCAAAACGAAATCCAGCAGCAAATTTTAAACTTATCAGCAACTTGAACCACAATAAAAGGCATTCAGAAATTGAAGCTGACGTAGCATATGGATCCGACTTTAAAGATGTCAACAAACAAATTGGTTTCTCCATGTCAATGGATAGGGCTATCAAGAGTTTCTCGCAGGCATCTGTAACTTTGAATGGAAAACTTATAGCCGGATCGGTAAGTCATCTTATTTTATTTTATGTTTTGTGTGATGCTGCTATTTACTGTTTTAACTGTTTTCTGCATATTAAAAGACCTAGCATAAACTGAAAAATAAATGTATCGATGTTTCTCTTTATAGGCTTTAAGAATCATAACCAAGTTAGACCATGCACATGAGTCGAAATCTCTTGCTTCGAATGTTATGATTCGCGTCAACAAAAATGCTCTTTCATCAAGCCTCAGTCTTAAAGATAAATCGACAAACCTCAAGGACATTTCCGGTAAGTTCGATTTGAACCTTCCTGGAGGAAAAACCTTTGAAGTTTCTCAAACTGTCAAAGAAAATGCGCCAAGTAATTTCACAAGTACAATGAACGCAAAATTTGGAAAATCAATGAATACAATTGTTACGTCGTGGCACAAGGCTTCACCATCAGCACTTACGATTTCTTCTGACATAAACCTTAGTTCAATGGATCCAATTAAAATTGATGCTGAATATACACTAGGACCAGATCAATACAAAGTTGGAGCGTCTCTACAAAGGGCAACTTCAAAATACAGCGCTGTCGTCACATCTCAGTCAGATTTAGGAAAGTCTATTCAAATTTCTTCTGACATTGAATGCCCATCCAGACACATAGTTGGAAACTTTGAAGGAACAAAATCTGGAAACAGATTCACCAGCCGAGCTGATATACGCTGGAATGCAGAAAGAGACGATACACAGAGAATAACGATCCAAGGAAAAGGTCAAATGTCGAGCCTTTCAAATGTTGACGGATCCTTTACAGTACAGTATCCAAGCCGTACCGTTGCAATTAATCTAAAGCATACTGCTGGTAATAAATATACTACACATATCGATTTCCAATGGGAACCAAGTAAAATTATTTCTATTGACTCAACTCTTGGTGATTATAATAACGAAAACGGTCGAGAAATCATAAGTAATATCAAATTCAGTTCCCCATTCTCTTTCATGAGGTCAATGGATCTGACGCTGGATCACCGAATTACGAAATCAATGTATCAAACCAAAATAGATGCAGAATGGTTTCCGAAGCAAACACTTTCTGCAACACTTACAGCAAGAAAGCCGATGACATTTAGAAGCTTCGATATCGACTTTATTGGCAAGGCTCCTTCCCTTGGGTGCAAAACCATTCAATCATCATTGAAACACAACATCGGAAATGGTGTTACAACTATTGGAAGAATTGCTTTTAATAGACAATCAGCACAAGTGGATCTGTCCCTTCTGAACAACGGCGATGCCAGTACGACAGATGTAAAGGGTCAGCTAGACATCAAAACATCATACAGGCAGATGCGAACGGCAACTCTCTCATTGTCTCATAAATATACAAGAAACAGGTTAGATTCCAGTGCTTTCCTTAAGTACAACAAGATGCAATATGGGATAGAAAGCTCACTAAAGGGAAAAGTACTCGGATGGGAACTAACTACGGATGGTGATATCACAATATTTCTTCCATCTGATAAAATAAAAGCAAAATGGGGACACAAAAATTCTCTATCAGAAATAACAACAACTTCAGAAATTACCTGGGAGAATAAACGTGTCTTTTTAAGTTTAAATGGACTTCAGGATCTAGGTCTTCAAACCGGTACACTTTCTGCAGCTTTGGAAATTCAAACGCCATTTTCCATTATTCAAGATGTTGTTTTGCAACTCAACCATCTTCATAAAATTGGACAGATTGATTCAACGATGAAAATAACAAGAAATGGAAATAGTTTGGTAACTATAGAAACGAAATATTTAAAAGAAAATGGGAAAATAACGTCAAGGGTCTCTTCCTCAAATCAATGGTGTGAAGGGCTACTTTTAGCTGTCATGAACGCAGATTATGAGAGCCAACCAAAAACAGCTCATCTTGAATTATCAATGTCACCTCTAAAAGCAATAACACTGGATGGAACCTTCAGTCACAACATAAACAATGATATTAGGACATCATTAACCATCTCCATTCCAAACAAGCCCTCCATCGAACTTGTAGCGAACAGACAAAATAATAGCTCTACATTTGATGTAGTCATGAATGGGCATCATTACGGATATGATATGGAAATAACAAACTCAAATGCACAGGCCAAATTCATTTTGCCAAGCAGAATTTTGAAAGTTAGTGGATCACAAAATTCAGGCACAACAGAAGGTACTTTTATGTGGGATGCTGAAAAAGATGAAACTCGTAAAGTTGGATTCCGATATGTAATGAGACCAACAAAAGATTCAATGAAGGCTGATTTCACTCTTATGATGCCAAGCATTGGAAAGGTATGTGCAACAAATCTTTCTTATTATTTATCTCCGCCTTGATATATACCAGTAGCTCATTCATAGAGATTAATATTCATCAGTTATCAGTATATATTGTAATCTGTGTAATATGTTTCTTGTCTTTTACTATGTAAACTGTTTCTTGCATTTTAAGAATTAGTATTTTATAGTTTAACAACATAATTACTAACGGTTATCTATCTTCAATATGATTTTACAGGAAGTTCAGATCGATTCTCAAATGAGTTTGAACAAAGGACGTATTCTCTTTGACGGTAAAACTGAACTTACCTATTCACGTGACAGCCGGAAAAAGTTCACCATCATGTCCCGACTTGAAGACATTTCAAATAGCTTTTCAGCAAAGAACTATAGCTTCACATTTGCAATCAGCCACCCATACACAAGTGTTGATGTTCAGGTTTCATCTCAATTTGGCAAATCAAATGAGAGAATTACTGGAGGTCTCAGTATGAATTACCAAACAGTAAAGAGAGACGTCAAGACTTTCTCTATGAATGGTGAAATTGATAAAGTCAGAAATGCTTTCACTTTAAATGTGAGTGTTTGTTTATATAATAGATTTAAATAAGAGGTTTATATCAATTTACATGTGATACTGAGTAGATGTGATTTACTTTAATCTAACTTCATTGTACTGTATGTAAATAGATTGTCTTAAGTCTTAATCCAAATATATTCCATTCTGAATATTTTGTTTAACAGATTGATACACCGATGAAAAAGATAGGAATAAATGGTAATGCCCAATCTGTATCTCCATACCGTTTGTCGTTATCCAACAAGTACGACTCTAAGCAACCACTGAATACAGTGTTTTCTATTGATTCTGCCAAAAGAAGCATCGACTTTCAGATGAACTACGATCTTGGTATGTCAGAAAAACATAATTATTTATCTCATTTATGACATGTATATTTGTTGTATCCTTTCTTTAATAAAGTATTGCAGACAATTTATGAAGGTTTAAATAAATGAAAATTTTATTTGAAAAAAGCAACACAAATCTTGGCTTTAGGTTGTATAATCACACATTGTTGCATTTTTTCTGACACGCATGTGGCTATAAACCTTTTGATGTATTTAAACTATGGGTTTTATTTATTATTAAGTATAATCTCATTTATTCTTTTAGAAAATCCAAACAGTGAGTTCCATGTCAGTGCCAAATATGTAAACAGTTCTGCCATTGCTGCTGAAATTTTCCATGTTGTCAATAGACACAGAGTTACTGATGCTCTTCTTGCGCTCAGGCTTAACAGTTCAAGTCTTCTTCACAGTCGTGTACACTGGAGGCCAGAAATGACGAATGATATCAAGGTTTGTTAATATCAAATAAATCTAATCCGTGTTGAAATCAATTATTGTTGGATTTCTTTTATGGAATACTGAGTCAAAATATTAACAGTAAACAGTAAATATATTAACATTTTTTTAAAAGATAAATGATATATTTTCCAGGCACTGTCAGAGAAGACATTAAAAAAGTTTTGGCGACATTTAGGAAATTTCGCTCAAGTTGCTGCAAGGGAAGTGAACAATGAAATAAACCAAAAGGCTGCGCTGATTAGTAACTCATTTTCTGATGAGATTGAGCCAATTGTTACAATATTGTCAAAGATGTACGAGACCAATGAGTATCATCTCAGAGATATCACAGACGCTACATTGTAAGTATTATTTAGCATTTATAAATTGATAAAATAGATATTATGACCTTCTAACCTCATAAGTGACAATAATGGAAGGTTTGTAAGACCATCTATAATAATGTTGATAATATTTAGTATCATTTTTGACAACAACAAAAAATCGTATTTTATATGGTTGTTGTTTGTAAGAGGGAGGTAGAACAAAATATTATTATTCGTGATGTTAATGTTCAAACTAGATAACTATATAAGAAATCTATAAACATTTTTATTCTAAAACATACTTTATAAGAATATTCAAATAATATAAATTATCTATTAATTTTTCATCAATATTTGAAATATATAGACCGGTAGGCCAATCGCTCAAATTGTCCAAGTTGTATATTATCATCTATATTCATTTTATTTTCAACTCCCAAATATTTATTATTATTATTATTATTATTATTATTATTATTATTATTATTATTATTATTCGAGCCATTTATCTAATCATCTATTGTTATTTACTATTAAATCAAGTAATTGCTTTCTATTGAATTCTTAGACAACAACTGAATGATATTGAGCACATGTCAGAGAAATACATTTCAATTGGGAAAGAAAAGCTCGAAGTCAACTTTGGTAGCTGTATTGAAAACTGGAAAGAGAAAGTTCAGGTATGTTTTATTTTTGTTCATCTTAAAAGGCACATTCGGTGTTTGTTGAAACTTGATAAAATATTTAAAGATCGTGTATGTTTTGTAATTGATATTGTACCTGTGTGTGTACCGCTCTTACAAAAAATAATATATGTATATTATTATGCAAATAAAACAAGTTTCTAACATCGAATAATATGTAAATAATGTACTACAAATATTTGTGCACATTATAAGTAATCAATAAATTATAGGAATTCATTTCTTATTGGAAAACTTGACTTTGAATTTATAGAAAATGAATTTCTAAGTATCTCCATTTATTTACCTGAAATGGTAAATTCGTTAATATCTTTACAAATAATGCTTATTGGAACTTACAATATTGACAAATCTTACTTTGAGCACCATATTACGGTGGCACAAAGGTGACATGTGTGTGTTTTTATTTATCTCGTGGCCACGAGATACTATGTCGTGGCCACGAGTTACTAAGTCGTGGCCACGAGATAGCTAACTCGTGGCCACGAGATACTATGTCGTGGCCACGAGTTACTAAGTCGTGGCCACGAGATAGCTAAGTCGTGGCCACGAGATACTATGTCGTGGCCACGAGTTACTAAGTCGTTGCCACGAGATAAATAACCAATCAGATTACACCATTTATGTGAATTTCCCTAATTAACTAGACATGTGCTATAGAACAAGGATGCCTCTACTTTACCAGTCTGTAAAAGTGTCATTTATGCAACTTATTGACTTGTCCATAATTTTTCATTTAGCGTCACTGTGACCCTGATTTTTGACCCAATGACCTCGAAATTATTAGATGTCATCTACTGATCAGGTGCAATGGGTTATATAAACCATGGCTTATCCTTTCTAAATTATTCATCAGACAAGGGTTTTACCTAATAGGCGATCTACTGTCCATGGGCAGTCCCTTACAAATAAAATAAACCAGGACTTAACAAGGTTTACAGGCCGTACTACGTACAAACTGTAAAAAACTGTACAAATTGTCCCAAAAAGAGCTAAAGTCCAAATAAATGTCTGATGGGCCTTGGAAGGTGACTTTCTAATATGATCCTAAAGACAAGTTCAAAGTGAATATCTTCAATATCTTCAAAGGTAAAAGTAAGATGTTAAGTTTAAAAAATTCATAACATATATAGTGTATTCTGATTGGTTAATTATCTCGTGCCCATGATTTATCTATCTCGTGGCCACGACTTACTAACTCGTAATCACTACATAGTATCTCGTGGCCACGAGATAGCTAACTCGTGGCCACGACTTAGTTACTCGTGGCCACGACATAGTATCTCGTGGCCACGAGTTAGCTATCTCGTGGCCACGACTTAGTAACTCGTGGCCACGACATAGTATCTCGTGGCCACGAGATAAATAAAAACACACAAACCTTTATGCCACCGTACCATATTTATGAAATAAAACCATAAAAAATGTGTTACAGGATCTTTAATTAGACATAAATATGCATAAATTGTAAAAAATTAATAACAATCATGTTGTTTGAGGATAATGTTTAATTTCAAACTTCATATATTTTGAATTATTCGTTTTCTGTGTATGTACCTTTAGTTTACATTCTTAAAACACGAAACCTTTCATTGTAGGCTTCATTTATCAAAATAGAAAATGCTGCCGGATACATTGTACTAAAAACAGCCGATCTCTACAAGACATATTCAGGTATTTATGTATCAAGCTTTGAACAGTTTTTTGATATAAAAAATAGTGTTTCGCTATCTAGATAAGAATATTTGCATCACTGTGGTTCTCAGTCACATCTAGCTAGTTATTTACATGTAAGAATTCGTCGTGTCCAACTACAGATCTTGAAGATCTGGTAGATCTAATAGCGAGAACGGCATATGACTTAATGTTTATAATGTTAATCAATGCTTTAGATACTGAAAATTTGTACACTTTTTGTTATCAAACTCTTATTCTGTATTAATTATATAAGTAAAATAACCTTCATAATATCTTTTTAGATCACGCATACAATTTGAGCAAACCGATGACCAAATCAATTAAGGAAAAGTACAATAACTACGTGCAATACATAAATCAAATAGACACTTCTAGAATGGCAGATGTTTACAACTCCGCCATTTATGGCGCACGTGACATCATCAACTCACAGTTATCACTAGTAATGTCAAATAGGGTTTATTATCATGTAAATTTTAACTTGTCTCTTGCTAATGATTTATTTTCTAAGGGAAAAAAATAGAAAATTTGATGAAATGCACTTGCGTTAAAAAAGACATATGATACTGTAAATATAAAGGACATTTTTATCAATGCTTAAGTGTACTTTTTATCAAAATGGTATTTTCCTTTCAAATTCGAAACAGTTTGGACAAATGATAAAAAAAATGCTTACGCATATATAGATCATTTTTAGAACTTGAAATTTTTCTTACAGGGTTCTTAATT